CAAAAAAAATAATATGGAATGTTTTATGACATCTTTTACCAGCAATGATTAATCCAGATTTTTTCTTATTCTCAACAAGCAAGTACATGCAAATTTGATAAACATTTTGCACACAGAGAGGAAGACTGTCACAAGAAAAAAAAAGAAAAAAAGGAAGAGAAATAACAAGAAGCAAAAGAGGAAGAAAAAGAAGAAGCAGATGAGGAAGAAAAGGAAGAAAAAGAAAAGAAGAAGAATTTTTGTAAAAGCAGTGTTTGAAGATTCTGAACCAAAAGGAAAAATAGTAAATGTAACATAATATTAAAAACATTTTGATAGATAATGTTTATATTAATTACCTATTTTAATTAATGATAAGAGAGAAAATCAAAATATGTGCAGTAAAATGGCTATTTCAACAATTTGAACTCTGAATTTTTTCCATCACTGCGGACATAATTAGATAATTTTTAGCACTAAATAGTTAAAAAGAACAACGTATTTTCTGCCACTTGTGTCAATCTTTCACTGTGTGCCATTTACAACATTAAACCAAGAAACTTTAACAACATTCTCTGTTTACTGCATTAACTACTGATATAACTATAACTTTTACAGTATTTTCAATACTGTTGGTTCAAATGAAACATTGCATTGCATAAAATGTGTTCATTAACTAATGCAATTTTCCATGGTAATAAGCTTCACTAAACTGCTGTTTTAAACTCAGTCCATAGTTCAGAGTATTATATGAATTATTTATGACATGTTTAAAAAACATATCATAAATTCCATTCCAACCACAAAGCTGTATTTTTTGTATTCCTTCACTATTTAATCACAATGAACACATGAAATACAATAAATACAAATGTATCTAAATTTAAAGAATTATTTCAGGAGCAACAAATCAACAATGAGAAAGTATTTACAAATTTTATCACAAAATCAACATATAAATATAATGTTCAAAAGACACTAAAGATAGCAAGATGTCACCACACAATTTCCTCAATTTGATGTGGTTTGCAAAACCCGATGAAACGGAAGTGAAAACTACATGTAGACGTTTAGTTTCAAAATAAAATAAAAATAAATCAATGACATAATTACATCATTAAAAGACACACTTCCACAAAGAGCAATAAAAATACACCACTTCCAAAGTCATACATAAATGATGTTCAATAAGCAAGATTTACTCTGATGAGAATTGAGCTTACTTTAAAGTGTACACCTTTAGAGAATCCTGTACCGTTGGCATTGGCCAAATACCATACCATTGGCACAAAAACAAAATTAATTTAATGGGGAGGGAATTTCTGTTGCCCATTTGGTGGGATAAAACTGCTTTCAGAACCTTAAAAAAACTTTAAATTGTTTTGAAAACGTAAGAAGAAATTATTATTTTTTTCTAGTTTAAATACCATTAAATTTCAATGTAATGTACCACCAAGGCTATATAATTACATAAAATAAAAAAAATAAAAAATGAACTAAATCCACCGAAATAATAAATCAGTAATGCTACTTTTAGGCTGAAAAATGTTTTTCTGCCAGTATAAAGTTTCAATGTCAATACAATAGAAACACGTCTAGATTGCATTAATCGAGTTTATGTCATTTCAAAGTGATATTTCAAAACTACCATCATTTAGCACTATGAACAGTGGCACACCCAAGGGGGACTGTTTATTTTTTAGATTATTTATGCCAGTGCAAATCTAAAGAAGCTAAAAAGATAGCTATGGCATCTTTAACAAAGGCTCCAGCAGAATAACAATTTAAAAAAATGCCCCTACATGTACTGAATCGACATTGTGTGTAATATATTTAGGACCATGAAAAACAAAGATTTTCAAATTTGGAGTAGTGCCAGTTTTTGAGAAATATTTTTAGAAGAGGAGGAGAGATCAAGTTCTTAACATTAGCTACTCAAATGAATTACAATTGCTTCCTTGACATTCTTTTCACATTGGTATTTTTCCACAGAAGAGGAGAAAATTGTGTAATACTGAACCAAAATTTGTGTAATGTTCACATCAATAATCTTTCATTTAAACTCCGACATGATTGTACACAATATCAGTTCATGACAGGCACATATACAATAGTAAACAAAGCACTGTCATTTAATAACACCAGCTCTTAGTAATTGGAAGGCACTTTCAAAAGTGTATCATGAATAATTACAACTACCTATGTATAGTTTTATCATGTGTTAATAAAATATCACCCATTTATATTTGTAGTAAATTTCCTTGTTAAATTACATTCTTAATTAAATATTTTTTGTTACAAGTAATATACTCAATTGTATTGTCAAGAATATTTGGTACACAATGTATTGGTCAATAAAGAAAAACCATTACATAATTGCAAAAGCATCATTATATGTGGCTTAGTAAATATAGATGTCTAACGATGTTGTCTACCAATACTTTGTCACATTCCAAACAATATTGTTGTGTAAAATATGTACAAAATAATACAATTCTGTGACTTACACTGAAGTTGGATTTATAGAGGATAAGAAAAATTAAGAAATACTACACCACAAACAATGGAAAAAAAGTAGCAATATAAATAAAACTAGTCAGTGCTTACTCATTATAAAATAAAGGTACATCAAATGTCTGAAGAAAACTTACAAGGTATTTTAAATGTCAGAATGTCAAATATTCTTGTCAAGTATCTTTCTACAAGTAATACTTTTACCATAAAAGAAATACACAAGGTGTCACTATTAGGTGAATGTAAAACAAGTCCCAGTAACAGTGACTAAAAACTTAAACACATTTCCTGCACTGATTTAGGAAAGGAAAATTTTAATGTATATATGTAATTTTTTGTGAGCTTTATTGTAAGTTTTAGAAGTCACTAATCTTTAAAAAACATAAATTAAAAGTAAAATAAATTTAATAGAAAGTATCTGTTTAACCCATTATTGCCCAACGTAATTTTCTTAAATGGGTTAACATCAATATTTAAAGTAGGGGAAACTGTTGTTCCTTTGACCACTCCACTCTGTGCTGGCACCTGATGGCAACATTCAAAGTTTGTGTGTTTAGTACCAAGATCATTCACAATTTGTTTACTGTAACTACTTGTTTGTTTGAAAGGGTTGGCTATGAATTGAAGAAAAATATTTATCTGGTTTCACCACTGAAAAGTAGCTTCAATTGTCTCACAACATTTTTTGATATTATTAAAAAATTATAGGCACATATGCATGCTATAGACAGACTAATAATCTTATTTTGGTCACACTGGTTCTTCTGTTCTGAACCTAAAATGAAGTAGAGCTTAAGATCTGAAATCACAATCTATTGTGCCTTTGACCAAAGTGTGTCGTTTCTTTGACAAGATAAAAGGGTCAGCACTTTATTTATGCCTTTATCACTACCAGACAAGCCAATAATTCACTCACTGCAGGTACATCAATGCAGATTATGGTAAAGTCCCATTAGTCAAAATTTGCCATTAACCTCTTTAGTGGTACACCCTAAAAATTAGATGCTCTTTCCTAAGCCCTCAAGAAAAAACATAAAGAAAGACCAAATAATAAATGAAAAATTATTACAGACAGCCTTAAAAAACGAGCCATACAAACTTTAAATCAAAATAACACTAAACAAAGCACGGAAGGAAACTCAAAATAAACTTTTTGTTCCTTTAACAACAAAAAGTTAAAAAGAAAGTATTTCTTGAGAAAGTTGAAAGCTCAGAATCTGATATGGTAATTTCTTCAGCTGAAAAATGGAAGGTTATCATGGAGTTTAGTTTACTCAGTGATACAGAGCATTTAAAAAAATAAGATTTTGTTCTAATAAACAGATTCACCTGCACAACCAGTTTCAAAATAATTCATTGATAAAATTAATGTAGTAGTTGATAATGATCTGAAGGTCCACTTTCTGAAGAAGTTACCTCACTGTTTATAGTTTCTTTTGGAAGCTGCTAACATTCAAGATGATAGAGTTAAAGAGGTCACAGTTAAACTTCCTTGAGCAAATGCCGCAGGAGGGACTGCTAAACTTCAGTATTGTTTGCAACTGTGAGTAGATTTTTCAACTAAAAATTTGCATGAAGATGTTAATTAAATAGTAGTCTAATAAATAAATGTTAAAAGAAATGCGCTTTCACAAGATACCATATTTTTTTAAATCACTTGTTTTTATCCACAAATACTTGACTTCATAAAACATAACCCTCTTATTGGTAATTTTCTTATTAATATTAATAAATTTAACTCCAATTAAAAGATACAACTGGTCTGAGGTACAAAGCTTCCACTAAACACAGTGGATTTTTTTTTAAATAAAAAAATTGAAAATGTACATCTTTTACAATATGTAACAAGCAAAATAAAGTGTAATTATGATCAGCACTCACGACACAATTGTTAGCTTAGATATGAAGCTAATAACAAATGAAAGCAGAGTACAGGTCAAAGGTAGAACATTCTCCCCATTACCTATAACGGAACATTCAAAATTTAATTTTTATGTGAAATTCAACAAAAATATTTTATTCACCGAATACTATAACTTTGTCTTTATCCATTATGTGTCATTATCCCCATATGAGAATTTGATCTATTTTATTTTATTGTAGTATTTTGCATAAAATTAGGTTTATGTAAAATTCAGTTTTATTCATGCTTACCAGGTCCATCTTTTACAATAGTGCTTCAGAATCTGAATTAAAATGATAGCACATTCATATAATGTAAAATAATATTTCCTTTCAACTTTTTCTGTTCATCATACCAATTTTGTTCTTTAAGAAACTTCACTTGAGTGTCAGTCTTATTTTTATGAAAATATAAGACACCAGTATATTTACCATGGGCTGATAACTAAATAATTTATACAAATCATTCAACAATTAATTACATTGCATTAGCAACCTTCTAAATTCAGGTTCTTAATACAATAGAACCTCGCTACTCCGAACCCTGCAAATCCGAAATTTTGAATAATTCGAACAAACTTCGGAATGGAGGAATAATAAATAAAATACTTATTTGGAGGGTAAAGAAAGGATTTTATAATTACTGTATAACTGAACAAACAATTATTGAAACACAAGTTGTTGAAATTAAACATTTATTGCTGGTAACTACAGTGTGTATCACCTGTTTACGTAGCAGTAACTTTCACTTAAAGGAACTGAATCTGCTTGATGATGCGATGTGATTATGATACGCTACATAGCTATTTTCTCACATCGTACGCTACATTGCATTGTCTGGTAATCCTATAGATGTATTTGTATATGTATGGTACATTTTTTTAGGATAATCCAAACATTTTCGAATCCAAACAGACCACAACCACAATTAGTTCAGATTACAGAGGTTCTACTGTATTTAAACATTGTTAAATCTCACTTTTTATTTCAAACAATTATTCTGCAAATAAAGTAATTGATAATAATACCTGTATTATGTGGGTCTTGTGCCTAAAGACAAATTTGCATCTCAGTCAAATTCTTTGCTTCCTTCACTGAGATTCCTGGGCAATTTGTTCCTTAAATTATTAGCCATTGCTTTCTCCAAGGGTGCTGTCAGCCAATATGTATATTTAATTTGACCTCTAGATTGCAGGCACTGGTTTCAGAATCTGCTGCACTCTGAGTTGGTGCTTTTGACTTCATGGATATTTAAATTTTCCAGAAATGCCCAATAGAGTAATCGGAAACTGTTTTATGTACCACATAAACCCAGGCATGCAAGTCGTCAACTTTTCACACCATAAAAACTTTTAGGTACGGACTTGAATATGAAAGAAATGTAAATAATGTACTTTATGTTTTGAAAATATGGTAACATTTTGAAAATCATGATAGAATACTGATATCTGAATTTACATTTGCCCACTGGCAAAAATATGTAATTGGATTAGAATGTTTCTAATGTGTAACATAGATTTATTTCTTACAAAGAGAAATGCTTTGAATTAATTGGACCTTAAAATGTATAAATCACAACTGTAATTTTAATTTTCTGAGCTTAAACAAATTATTCTGTAAGTGTTGTATTAGTCTGTAACTATTTCTTTCCTTTCATTATGACCTAATCCAATCATCAGAACATTTTTACTAAAAATATTTGACACAACCTTCCAGAAAAGTATTTATTAAATTTGTAATTTTTTTGATTCACAGCTGTATACATTTATGTTTAAACAAATATAAGAGGTGTGTCTAATAAATCTTGCCATAGTTATGTATATGAAGTCAGGAAAAGGACCCACTGAACACTGTTTGTTAGAAAAAGTTGCACATATTAATTGAACTAAAGAGCTACAAAATACATTTTGGAATGGCATTTAGAAGCTAGAGACCTAAAAGAGACAGTTTTCTGCAAACTTAGGTACAAGTTGCATTTCTGATGAAACAATTAATAAGGTTCTATACATGAACATACTTAAGCACTCTGGGAAAATTAATTGCAGAAACAAATGTGGCTCCAGCAAGACTTTGTTTCCCACCACAAAATGATCAATGGGTCACTCTCCAAATCCTGCTTCATTTTAGCAATCAATTTCAGAGACCCCTCACTACGTATACACACTCCCATAATGTCACTCATTTCCAACAAAACTTGATTTTTTTTAAATTTTTATATAGATCCTCATAATTTTGGCCAACACAAACACTTTGTAACTCACAAATTGAACTTTAAAATATAAAAATGTGGCCCATGCAATATTTAATAACAGAATTTCCTTTATTCATTTTCAACTTTTGGTACTCAGAATGTTACAAAACTCTTTTAAGACCTACCTAACAGCCATGCTTATTTATCGTGTATGTCACTCTTATTCTAGCAATATCAAATATGCTGACTTTTGGTAGATAATGTTTTACTTTTGAGTGATTCATTATATTATTAACATTATGTTATGAACAGCACTAAGAAAACATACAGAAAAGTGGAAAACAATTTTATAGTAAACATTTGTCTTTCTTTCAATGTTCATAATTCAATCTGGATTAGCAAATGATCACGTCATATTGAACAAAAATAAAACTAAGTATAACTACATCACAAGATAGAATTTGGTCATTAGCAGTTTTACGTTTATTCTGAGAGATTTATTTTAAAATCTCTCATACACAATTCATTTTGAATAAAATGTTTGTTTTATAAACAAAATAAAATATTACATAATGAAAATGTACACTATACTCCATTTTTTCTTACAATAATTCACTATATGTAGCACACCATAATCACCATTAAAGTAAACTTTATACATGTCAATACATTTTACAATTTGGGAAAATCATTTCCACACTGTACATGATTTGTAACCCCTTATACTGTACATAAATCAGAAGTACCAACTCTACATTTTTGTAAAACCTGTACACATACATACATAAAGATATCCTTGAATGGATTATCATAAAAAATATAAGCAAAATCTGCAGGAACACATGTATAAAATAAAATCTTAAATATTCACGAAATTTACAATAAACTCACCCATAAATGAAAGCAACAAGCATTAACAAATCCTTCAACTAGTGACTGAATATCTGCTACACAAAATTCCATTTGATCAGATGTCTGTTTCTTTTCTTGCAGAGGCTTACTATACACAGCACACAAGTCCTGGAATATTACAAATGTATTTTATAAGAATTAAGATTACAAAGCACACAATTATAAAGAAATCAAAAGAACAATAAAAAAGCAAACAAATACATTGCTTACTCCTCGAGATGTATTAGTATCAATTGAAAGCATCATAAATGCTTCCAGGTAACGTGGATGTAAAACAACTACATGTTGCACATTGCCATCAGGTGCAACAAAATGACGATAATGATCAGAATATTTTTCCTTAAGAACCTTGGCAAGAGCTTGATACCATGGTAGTGTCTGACATAGTAAAGGAGCTAATCTTGGATCTAACTGACTAATAGGTTCTACAACAGCCAAATTACGAAGTTCACAGAATTCATTGTAAGAGAGTCCTGAAGATGACTGAAATCAGAAAGAATATAAAAACTATTAGTAATAATTGTACTAATAGTAATAATCATACTTCAAGAATGAGTCAAGTGTGATACAGTGGATAACACACCAAATCTCGAGAGAAAGAATCATCTTTCCGTCTATCAGATTCTCGAGAAGGATTCAACAATTTATTCCACAAAAGATGAGTTCGACAATGTTCCATTCCTTGTGCAACCATATCTTGTATACATTTCTGTGCTGTTGATGCTCTTTCCAGTATCAGTTCATGCATAAGTTGCTCATGTGATGAATAATATCCGAGGTAGTTCACAGATTCCTGTCTGCGGATAATGAAAAATAATTACATCAGTAAAGATGATTTTTGGACACTAAAAAAAATCTTAAGAAAAATATACAGATATTAAAATAACATACTTTTACAGACTTCATTATTCATGTGAATTTTTTTGTTAATTTTCCAGAAAAATGTACACTATCTTTACTTTTTGTTAATTTCTTAATATATACAAAAATGATAGTTATGTATAAAAAATAAATAAATTGAAGAACACAAAAACTAAGGGATTGATGAGAACAGGTACAATTGATCCGTGAAATACAATTATATTCTGTACTTTTATTACTACATAAAGAAATTCATAATCTTCATTCTGGCGGAACAAGTAAATTGTAAATTCAAATACACTTAATCTACATGAGAAAACTATATACACTTATTTTAATAATTTCTGTAAGATTATTTAAAAATACCTGTTGTAGACAATTGTTTGCATTCAGATACATTTTCATGACTTTATGCAAATAACATTAAATCTGTTACATTGAACATTAAATATTTGGATTTAAAAAACATATGATTTTATATGTAAATTTACACAATTACAAAGGGAGATTTCAAAAGAAACTCTAAACACTATGGATTTGTCAATATCAAATGTATGTAATTTCCTGCTGATCATAGTCATAGAAAACAATTAATTTACAGAGCTTATGCTCAAATCCAAGTTTGTAAACAATACGAGTAAAAGTTTGTAAACAATATTAGATTTTTTGCCTGGGCAAAACCTTGCAATTATAAGGAGACTTTTTTTTCCAAAAAATTAGACTACGAAATTTTAAAAGATATCAAATACTAATAACATTTTAAAATGTTTTTTTGAAATATAATGAATTGAAATACAGTACCTGATTTCAATATGTCTTAAAAAGACAGTAAATAAAATTTAAGACATGTCTGATTGAAAACATAATATACAATATTAATAAACTGCCCAAGTAATAAAACAAATTAATACAATTATATTGTGAAATGTAAAGAAATGTTGTAAGGAATGGTGAAGAATTAACTTACTAATTTTACAGGTACTCAAATTAAAGAACTTCAAAAACTGTTACACACAACTCTGCATATTTTGTCAATAAAATAAAAACAAAATAAAACAAAAACTGCACTTCTCAATCCTTGACCCTCTTCAAACAGTTTGGACAAACACATACAATTATTACAGACATTAGATATAATTGTCATAATATCCTTCTAAAAAACACTAACAACAGACACTACTTGGCGAAAGAAAACCAACCACTGTTTAGTATCTCTCTCACATTACAGAACCCTAAAACACCAATATACAGAATGTCAGATTGACGACAACACCCCAAAGAAACTGAGTGCATAAAACCCCACTTGTCCACCATTTAACAATAGCAACAATTTAAGACGATAAAGTCTAAAGAGGGTTCATACCGATAAAATAGCCTAGAAACCAACCCTCACCTATGAAGCAACATTTGTTTTACCTTGTCATGTGCTATATTTGTTTGGCAGTTGCGGCGCAGAGCAAAGTCACTTGCCTTTCACCAAAGAGTCCGGGTTTAATTCCGGGACAATCTCATGAGAAATTTGCTCCAATAAAACGAGTTTGCCTGCTACACAGGGTTAACCCTTGTGAAACATCCTAAACCTTACCCCTATTCTAATTCCTTCCCAATACATGTAATGTTTCAAAAATGCAGTATTCATGAATATATTGCAATCAGTAATAAATATTTATAATTAATAATCAGAGCTCGGATTCTGATAACATGTCATCTTTCCAATGGCGCATTCTAGACGTAGCGAACTTGTAAATGAATGTTTATCAAAACATGTAAGTGATAGAAATCTATAATTATTGGGACATTTACGTATTTTTTTTCCATTTTTCAATTTTACGTCATTTTCTTTTTTACCTTTGCATTATTTTTGTAATTTTTAAGCATTTCCTTTCCTTTTCCTGTCTTTTTTTTTTGTTGGTAAATCTTTCATGAATTTACAATGATACATTAAAACAAAATTTTTATTGTATCACAGTTCACGATGAAATTCACTATTGCAGTGAACTCTTGTTCATCAAACTCTCAAAATTACATAGATCTTTAGTAACTTCCTCAACCTTTCAAAACTGACGGTTGGAAGATTGGAGCTAAGCTTTACATTTCCTCCTAAAATAAAGACTTCATATTAAATATACTTTTATATAAATAAATTTTATTTAAAATTGTAAATTCATTGAAAAAGTAAACATTTTCAGACAAAATTGTGAGTATTTAAAAAAAAATTAGGATACTTCCCTCTTACTTTTCGACTTTTTATGGGTCATTTTCAATTTTTAGGTCCTCAGAATGTGAGCCTTGTTAATAATGTATTTGTAGAATGATGTCAAAAAATTTTGAACTTTTGGAATTGTCTGAAAAATATTTAGACCCATTTTTGAGAAAATTTGGAAAACGATCCAGGGAGTACATGTAGAGTATCCCAAATATTAAAATGTCCATTTCAAATTCTGAGTGTTGTACATTCCGCCAGATCGATCTTGAAATAACCATTATGGTGAAAATTGGCGAACAGTTTAGGCACTAGTATAGTAGACAGACACACACATACAGAAACAGATGGTTGGGCAAATGCTTTGAGGAGGAAAGGGGGGGAAAGTTACTTTCTTGGTATCAGGGACCCCTCAAGGATGCCCCCATTGTTTATGCTACATATACTAGAATCTCCATGTTATCATACTACATATACTAGAGAGTGAAAGTACCATGAGCTTAATAAATTCATAAAATACCAAGTATTGTGCAAATATTAAATGAAATACTTTATTTATCATTATTTAATTTCTTATTTTGTCAGTTTCTTATCGTTAATCTACTGGCAATAGTAGAATTTTCCTCTAAGATTATATCTTTTCCCTACAAAGTCATTTTATTTTTGCTGTTAAAATACATTGTTTTTCTTTAAAAAACTATTGTTTTTTGTCAACTTGTCTGATTAATTTTTCTCCCTGTTATCGTATTTCTTTTTGGTATCAATTTAATATATTTTGTATTTTCATTTTGTTTCCATTCTATACAGACAGTACTTGAAAATGATGTTTTCTTCCACTGAAAATTTGAATGTTCATGAATAAATACCTTTCAACCAGTGGTTTAACAGTTAGGTCTTCAAAACCTACAATGCAGGCGAGCACAAATAAAAGAGGGCCCATTTTTAGGATGAAGGTTTTGTAATTGTAAGAAATGTGAACTACTTGATACTTTCTCTGATACTTTGCCATTGTTTATGCAATAAAAAATTAAAAATAGCATCTTTCAGAGGAATGAATTTTTTTGCTACAGTAGCTTATGTAACCCTCTTTCTAAATAAATCGGGTAGATCAGGTTTTGTAACAGTCTTAATTTAATAAGATTAAATAATAAAGGTAAATTTTTCTACTATTGGTTATTAATTATGGACTAATGAATTCGGATTTGTTGAAGGATATTTTTAGCATTACTTATGTTGGCCAAACACTTTTATTAATGGGCCCCGAATTCAAGTTTCGCGGGCGGACCCACACTCCTTTCGTTAGGATACTACTTATAACATTCAATATGCTGATATTGATGCAACATCCCTAGCTTTCATCACGGCTATTACTCTTTCATTATAATAATCATACATGCAATTTAACAAACCAAATGCTAGTTTTAAACCTAAGCCCGACGGTCTCCCGCCCGAGATACGGCTACGTCTCTGACTTCGGGAGACCGGACAGTCTCTCGCCCGAGGGACGGCTACGCCTCTCACTTCTGGCGACCCGACGGTCTCCCGCCTAAGAGACGACTACGCCTCTGACTTACGGCGACCGGACAGTCTCAGGCCCCAGAGACGACTACGCCTCCGCCTTTCGGCGACTCGACAGTCTTTCGCCCGAGACAGGGCTACGCTTCTGACTTCCGGTCACCCCACAGTCTGCCGCCCGAGAGGCGGAAACGCCTCCGCCAAAACGCGACCCGACTGTCCTCTGCCCGAGAGAAGGCTACGCCTCTGACTTCCCGCGACCCCACGGTCTGCCGCCAGAGAGGCGGACACGCCTCCGCCTTGCGGAGTCGCAGAGGCTCCCGGTCGACAGACGCCTTCGCCTCCCTGCGTTACACCTGTGGTCTGTCAGCCGCTGGAACCTAGGACCTTGTGATGGCCCGCTGTCACCTCCGATCCCTGCCCCCGTAAGACCCGCGAGTGGAACTACCCCTGAGGACGTTCGATCCCATTACAAACGTAACACTAGTATCCAAAATCCTAAAACCTCACGGTCATTGTCACTGCAGAGACAGCAGCAATGCTGGCTGAGCAAATCAGCCGGTGCCAAGTGACGACATTGTGGCGTGTGGGATTCAGCCGATTCGAGTCTCTCAGTGTAGTTCCGAGGTAGAGTTGTAGTCCCGACTTCGTTCGACATTCTCGAAATATGTGGTACATGTCGCTGTACTCAGATACGACACACCAACAGAGATAGCTCCTGACGACAGCTATTGCCGGCAGCAGTATCTCTGACCGGGAAGTTTTAGGGATCAAGTCCCAATGGTGGCGGATTTTCGACACTGGGTTTATATCTGGGACGAATTCAGACGCTGATTAAAAAATTCTAGCGATTGGCTGCTCTGATAGGAAGTTTCATTGGTTTCTCCGACCAATACCAGGTGAATACCGGAGCAGTACCTCAAGAAACGAACCACACAAGACCTCATTCTTATTTCCTGACCCCTTACACCCACACGCATTACACTATCACGCACGTTGAAAAACCAGTTGGGAACTTAAAGCAAGTCAGACCACTGCCAGAGTACCTGGAGGTAGGAAAGCATAAGCTGACATGCAAATCGGCGCCGGATCCCAATATCCAGCGGGGGAGGATCACTGCCACAGTCAGGTGCATTACATGCACTACAATAACGGGACCAATAATCATAGCAGTCGTGGCGCCCAGAAGAGCAAAATAATCAGATACGGCAAACGAGT